CTCCTCTCTCTCCCCTTTCTCCCCTCTCCCACACCTCCCCCTCCCCCCTGTATGTTTTTTCCTTCGCTCCTTCACCATTCTCCCCCTCCACCCCTCTCCCTCCCGTCTTCTCTCCCCTTCCTTCTTCTTTTGTCCTTCGTATTTTTCTCCTCCAGTTCTCTCCTTCATCTCCTCTCTTCCTCCTCCTCTCCACTTCTCCCAATTCTCCCTCTCTCCCTACTCCACTTCCCATTTCTTCCTCTCTCTATATCCCCTTTTCTTCTTCTCCATCTCTCTACGCCACTTCCTCTCCTTTTTCCCCTCTCCCTTCTCTCCATCTCCTTTCACTTCCCCTCTCTTTTCCCCTCCTCTCTCTACCTTCCCTTCTCCCACTCTCCCCCCGTCCCCTTTTCACCTCTCCAATCCTCCACTCCCCGTCCTTCCCTTCCCCATCTCTCTCTCCCTTCCCCCTCTCCTCCCTCCCCTCCCTCCTCCCCTCTCCCCTTCTCCCTCCACTTCCCTCCCTCTCTCACCCTTCCCCCCCCCCTTCTCCGCTCCCCTCCCTCCTCTCCTCCCCTCCCCGTCCTCCCTCCCCTCTCCCCCCTTCTCCGTCCCCCTTTCTCCCCCCCCCCTTCCCCTCCCTCTTTCCCACCCCTTCTCCTCCCCTCTCCATCAAATCTCCCGCTTCCCTCCCTCTCCCCTCCCTACCCCCTACCCCCCCCTTCTCTTCGGTCTCCTGGAAACAGACCGATTCCAGGAAACGGGAATTCGGGAATGACACTCAAAGTCGCGCAGCAATCTTGGAATCTCTCTTCTTGATTCCCTTTCCTTCACCTTTTTTTTTTTTTATCCTTTCCTTCGGTTCGGGTACACAGCCTCGGTCGTACCCTAGACTACGAAAAACGCAGGAGATATCCACACCGCAAAACCCACAAATATCCACAAATATATCCACCCTCGAAAACCCGCATGTATCCACCCTCGAAAAAACAAATATTCTACCCTTGAAAAAAACACACACAAAATATATCCACCCTCGTAAAACCCGCATATATCACTCTCGAAAAACATAAATATCACCTCCGAAAAACACACACAATAATAATCACCCTCAAAAGAAACAGATTCCATCACCGAAAAAACACAATATCCACACACACAAATATCCACTCTCGAAAAAAAAACAGAAATATCCCACACTAAAAAACACAAATATCTACCTAAAAAAAAAGAAAAAAATCCAACACAAAAAAAATATTATATCACCTTTGAAAAATCGCAAATATCCACCCCCGAAGACCCACAAATATCCATCCACGAAAAAACCACAACTTATCGTACCCCCCAAAAAAAAACACCTGTTCCCCGCAAAAACCCACAGGATAGCAACCCCTCGCACCCACAGAATACCCACACCGCAAAAACCCACAGAGTATCCACCACGAAAAAGCCACAAATATCCACCCTCCGACCCCCCCACAGCTTACCGTACCCGAACCCCCCCCCCAACCCACCCCGCCAAAACCCACCACAGAATACCCCCTCCGCCTAAAAAAAAAATAGCAACGCCCTCCTTACCCACAGAATCCCCCCACCCCCCCACCACAAAAAAAAAAAAAAAAAAAGACCCCAAAAAAGGAAAAAAAAAAAACAGCCCCCGCCCCCCCACACCACCCAAAAAAACACCCCCCCCCCCAAAAAAAAGAAAAAAAACAGCCCCCCTCAAAAAACAGAGCCCCCCCTCAAAAACAGCCCCCCTTCTCCCCAAAAAAAAGAAAAAACAGCCCCCCCCTCTCCCCCAAAAAAAAAAAAAGCCCCCCCCCAAAAAAAAACCCAGCCCCCCCAAAAAAAAAAAAAAAAAAAATCTCTCTCCACACCAGGAAAGCAGGGAAAAGCGACAGAGTGCTTGTGCCCCGAGTTGCACGTAATTCTCGCCCCAACCGGATCAAGAGGGACGCAAATCGAATTGTCCGGCGCGAGGCAGACTAATGACGACAGCTAAACCGATCTGCTGGCGCGGAGGGATGGGCGGGGCAAGGGGAGGGTCGTGGGATGGAGGGGGGGTGGGAGTGCAGGAGGGTGCGGCGCGGAGGCGGTGCGTTGGCCAGCTGTAGGAATTCTGGGGAGTTGCGAGGTTGGAGGGAGGGGGAGGGAGGTAGGGATGGGGTAACGTTGGGTGTGAGGGTGAGGCAGAGGGAGGGGTTAGTGGGAGGGAGTGGGTAGGTTGGAGTGGAGGGTGGGGTAAGTTGGGCGGTGGGGGAAGGTGGGGGGAAAGAAGGTGTCTCTCGAGGGGCGACAGTGGGCGATTTGTGGGCGTGAGGGCCGGGGGATAGGAACGGGGGGAGGGTGTGTGGTTGGGATGTTTGGAGGTTGGGGAGGGAGGGTGGAAGGGAGAGAGAGGGGGAGGAAGGGGGAGGAGAATGACGTACCTTTCCGTGTTTTTTTATGGGAGGGGGTGCGGGGGGTTTCTGAAAAGGATTTGTGTGTCTTTGAATTTTGCATTTGTTTCTCTTTCTCTTTCTCCCCTACCTGTTTATCTATCTATCCATCCATCTCGTATCTACATTTCTATCTACCTATCTATCTATCTCCTTCCTTCCCTACCGCTCCCTCCCATCCTCATGCCATCATCCATCCCACATCCATCCATCCATCCATCCATCCATCCATCCATCCATCTGCCCTTCTTCCTCTCCTCCACCCTCCTCCCCTTTACCCATCTATCCATCCTCTATTTCCCTTCCTTACCCCCATTCCCATCCATCCATCCATCCATCCATCCTTCTCTCTCCCTCTCCCTCACCCTCCTCCCTACCCATCCATCCATCCTCTATCCTCCTTCCTAACCCATTTCGTTTCGCTCCACCCCATCCTTCTCCTCTCCTCTCCCTCTCCTCTCCCTCTTCCTCTCCCTCTCCCTCTCCTCTCCCCTCTCCTCTCCCTCTCCTCTCCCCTCATTCCCATCCACCATCCTCTATCTCCTCCCAACCTTTCATTCCCTCCATCCATCCATCCATCCATCCTTCTCCCTCCCTCTCCCTCACCCTCCTCCCTACCATCCATCCATCCTCTATTCTCCCCTTCATATCCCATTCCATCCATCCATCCCTCTCCCTCTCCCTCTCCTCTCCCTCACCTCCTCCCTCCTACCCATCCATCCATCCTCTATCCTCCCCTTCCTAACCCATTTCGCTCGCTCCATCCATCCATCCTCTCCCTCTCCCTCTCCCTCTCCCTCCTCCTTACCATCTATCCATCCTCTATCCCCCTTCCTAACCCATTTCGTCTTCGCTCCATCCATCCATCCTCCCTCTCCCCTCTCCCTCTCCCTCACCCTCACCTCACCCTTCCCTCTCCCTCACCCTCACCTCCTCCCTACCCATCCATCCATCCTCTATCCTCCTTCCTAACCCATTTCGTCTCGCTCCATCCATCCATCCATCGAAACACACTCAGGTTGCAACGCTCTCGACTCATCTCATCTCGGTCGTCTGTTGCAAGCGTTGCAAGGGTATGGTGAGTCGCCTCTGTTGCTCTGGTTGCTGTTTCGTTGCGTAAGAGAGAGAGAGAGAGGGAAGGAGGGAGAGAGAATGAATGAGAGGAGAGGGTAGGAGAGGGTGAGGTGGAGAGGAGTAGGAGGGAAAGGGTGACGTGGAGGAGAGGAGAGGGAGAGGTAGGAAGAGGGGGAAGGTAGGAGGAGAGAGGAGGAGAGGAGAAGGAGGAAGAGAGAGGAGAACGAGAGAGAAGAGAGAGAGAGAGAGAGAGAGAAGAGGAGAGAGAGAGAGAGAGAGAGAGAGAGAGAGAGAGAGAGAGAGAGAGAGCGAGAGAGAAGACAGAGAGAGCGTCCGCGCCTGTGCAACAGATGGAAACAACATTATTTCCGGCAAAGACACGAATCAGCGCTTGGAGAGAGCTTCATAACACAACAATTAAATTATTAAAATGAATTATCATTCACCGTTACTCCCTCCCCTCCCCCCTCCCCCTCCCCCTCCCCCTCCCCCTCCCTCCTTTCTAACCTACAGAGCAAATATCCGCTAGCTTTTTCCGCTCAAATTGAACGTGATTACGGCCATCGTCTGTAATAGCATAAAGATACGTTCATTAATTTCAAAGTATACAGCCCTGCATTCATGAAGTCAAATGCATGCAATTGAAAGGCAGACATTTGAGCGAGAAAGAAAATAATTGAGCATTGTATTAGCCTAAAATTTAAATCGCTACATTCGAACGCGCCAACCTCTTTGTTCCCGCGCAACAGAAACAAAAGAATATCGCTCGCTCTTTTTTTCTTTTCTTTTTCTCTATTCTGTGTCCACTCTTTTATGCAGGTTATTTGATCCACTTGTTACTTGTCTTTTGTTTTTTATTTATTTTTTTGTCGTTTACATGTTCATTTTGGCGGAAAAGTTTTAATGGTGGAATTTTTGTGCTTGAGTTGTTGGCAAAAACCTTTTCTTGACAGGGTGTGAATATGTTCTTTTGATCTGATGTGGCTTTGTGTTTTATTGTCTCTGTTTCTCTCTTATATAAATGCTACCTACGTGTGGTGTCGTAAGAAGAAATTCACGTGTTTGTTTCTATTTTTTATACGAATGCTCTCTGTCATGTAAGAACACATTTACTTGTTTGTTTCTATTTTTATACAAGTTCTACCTGTGATGTAAGAACAAATTCACTTGTTTGTTTCTTTCTTTATACAAGTGATCTTTGCGATGTAAGGACAAATTCACTTGTTTTTTTCTCATTTTTATACAAGTGCTCTTTGTAATGTAAAATGAAATTAACTTTTTTTCTCTCTTTTTTTTACACGAGT